GCTATCCTTCTTTGCCTCCTGCGCTCCATCTGCATCGGCGCTCTCCCGCCTCGCGAAGAGGGCTTTCAGCTTGCCCCCGCCGTTGAGAGTGGGTGAGGTAGACCCTCTGCGATCGCCGCCGCCCGCTGGGGAGGCAGGCATGTCTACAGAGAGGCGCTGCTTGTGGAGCGTCGAGTCATTGTTGGGGAGGTAGGGAGTGGCTTCAGACACTCGGCGGGAGCGCTGAAAGATGGGCATGGTGCCGATCTACCCGGGTAGGTGGGGGGAATGGGTGAGTGGGAGGGGGGAAAGGATCGGAGAGGGGGCGGTGGCTGTAGTGGCGGCGGCGGGGGTGATATAAGAGCTATATGATACGAGCGTCAGCATGTCTATACAGCGCAGCAGTGGGGGCAATGACGAGTAGTGTGGGAATGAGGCGGCGCGACGTAGGTCACGCGTTGAGTGGATGTCACTGCAGCCAGCAGCCAAGTGGCCTATGATGCTTGGCCCTGGGCACGCCAGCCAGTGGACACGGCCGCCAGATATAGCATGAAGAGAAGACTCACTCTAAAGATGCTCCAGTATCCACCTGTTGTGGATGCTCTCTATGCGCGGAGGTCCGTCGTGGCTCCAACAGAGATCTGGATTTAAGCAAGATGGAGAGACAGTCTAATGACCTATTGATTCGGCATGAAAAAAGACGCCTGACCGAAAGGCCGGGTTGTGTCTTTCGTTGTCTGCTGCTGTCCGCTGCGGTGCCTCCGTGCTGCGTCGTCCGGCCGTGGATATGTGGTGCGGGGGGGCGCGGGCGGGGCCTGGAAGAGTGGAAGACGGCGGGCGGACTCGGGGGGAGCGCGGTCCGACGACGTGGGCCGGGACGGTGGCTGGAGTACGTGGGGGGACGAAGACCGAGACGCGGAGGACACGAAGTCGGACAGAGTTTGGCGCGGCGGTCTGGACCGTGGTTTTGGCGGCGTGCTTGGCGTGTCTGGGTGCAGTTGGGGAAGGGAGGGGGAGAGGGAGGGGGGAGGAGAGGGTGGTGGTGAAGACGAGGTGAATGATGGCGGCGAAGAGAGTCGAGATGGGCTGGACAGAGGAAAGAGTGGATTCGGTGGCTGGTGTCCTTACGTCATGCCATGCTTTTTGCACTTTTAGCACCCTTCATGTCGAGAACCGAGTCCCTGCTGGGAAGAGCTAAAACCGCCCCGGCAAATGCATATCGCCCCTTGGTACCTGGCTAGTATGCTGACGAGGGCGAGTATTTTTAGGCCAAGACGACGAGTCGACGATGAAGACCAGAGCAAGGGGTGGGCAAAGACGACGAGGACGATGAAGGAGAAGACCGCTTGCCGTGAGATCTCTTGCGGGGAAGGGCGGGGTCCAGGATCATCACGGTATCGGTGTGTCACCAAGTGGTCACAGCCGCAGCGACATCCATTCCAGATGACAGCATTGTTGGAGCCCATTCGGATGGCACGGGGGCATGTCCAGGCGTGTCCATGCCGGGGGGATCTTGCTGAGGCAGGCTCAGGCGGGCATCATACAAAAGTGGTGCAGACTTCTTGCGCACTTCTTCCAGTCAACTTCTTGTGGTGGCTGCTGGCGGCAAAGACGACACGGAGGCCTGCAACATATGCTCACCCCGCTGAGCGTAACCTTTCCTTGACCTCCCCGCTCATTACCGCACAACAGCCTTCATGCAGCAAGCAGCCGTCTTCATCATCAGACACAGTTCGAATGCGACGCTCCTCAATTCACGCAGAAGAAGCTTGCTCGACCGGCCGTCTCCGGACGTACATACTCATCCCCCCACGTGTCCTTCATCGCCGTCGACTCAGCTCTGTAAACTCACATCATCATTGTACGTACATGCGACGCATACTGTGGTGCAGCTCGCAGTCTCTCCAGCCAGAGGCCCCAAAAACGATAGCACTGCAGTAGTGGTGCTGTTATGGCTCAGCCTATGGTGGCGTCTGTTACAATCGGCGCCCCAGCATACCGGTCTGCTGGAATCGAGCACCACATCCACTCACCTGAGTTCTCGGCAGTGGTGACGCCAAGTACGGCATCGTGCGGAGCCAACTTGGCACACTTCTCTTGGGCGCTGGACGGGTATCCAAGCGTCTCATATCAAGTGGCAACGGCTTGCAAGAGCGGTAGCTAGTGTCTGCGGGAAGACGTGTACGATATCACAACAGATCATAGCCCAGTATGATGATGCGTGGTGGATCATATGTTGCGGCAACAGTGGCAAATCCTGACGAGACGGAAGAGGGTGAGCCCGAGACCTCTGCTGGAATCCGTCGGCAACGGAAAAGGAACGTGGGTCTTGATAAGAGGCTATGGAAGCGTTCCTAGACCAAGCAGAACATGTGGAGCAAGAACAGAGAGCGACTCGCCTGTTTTGTCGAGTTCATGGCGGGCGTGCAAGACGCAAATCTTCTTTTCGTGCAAGTACTTGTGCCGCCGCGCCTCCTCTCTTCTGCCTGCTGCTGAGTATTAGTGGCACTGCGAAGTATAACTGCCAGTATGTGCAGATTCAATTCTCAGCCCCTTGTGGTGTGCATGCACCGGTATGGTGTGCTTGGGCTTCGGACGATGATGACTAACGATAACGAATGAATCGACAAGGCATCATCCTCCTCTTCCGATTTCCTCCCCCATGTCCTCCTCTCTAGATGGGTTCTGATCTGACATGTCAGCTCAGAAGGATGTCTCAAGGCCTCCCTCCACATCTCCTCCACCTCCCCCTCCACCGCCCTCCACCTCTCTGTCCGTATCGTATTATCACTCCCTATATCACCACCCGCCGCACTCGTTCGCGTCTCTCTTCCACTCTGGGTCCGCCCACACGGACTCGGCTATACAGACGGCAGCGACGGCTGTGTCCGATAAGGAGACCGATTACAATCGATTACAAAGCAAAAGCAAAATGATTACAAAGCCATATCTCAGGCACGCTTCGGGCCGGTTGCGACGAGTCGCGAGCCGCCTTCGCGCGGGTGGCATAAGAGCACACCATGCTGCTCTCTTCCCAGCACCCATCTCGCCATCTTGAGTCTTCTCACCGCAACAGTAGCTACGTAGACACTGTATGTCTGCTATAACAAGACTCGCCAACGTCGCAAAACACTTCTCGCCCACACCCTCTACTCTTCGCGCAATGTCCACCCAGATCCCCAAGACTCAGAAGGCTATCCAGGTGAGTGTCGAGTCGACTCCCTTTGTTCTTCGACTCGAATACGTCTCGGGTATGACATGTGTGTTGTGTGCTGATGTCGTGAGTGATGACCTGTAGGTCGACGCGATCGGCGGTCCTGAGGTGAACGTCCTCAGAGAGATCCAGGTGCCGACGCCCAAGGACGACGAGGTCCTCATCAAGATCCAGTGGACGTGAGTGGCTGATGTGACTAGGCATCTGCGACGAACGCATGCTAAGTCATTCTCCTCCTCTCTCATGTAGTGGAGTCAACTACATTGACAACTGTACGTCTCTCCCTTGCCGGCGCAAGTGAACTCCATGCCCCCGCTGACCCGCTGCCAACGTCAGACTTCCGAAGCGGCGTCTACTCCAAGCCCTCCTTCCCCTACACCGTCGGCCAAGACGTCGTCGGCACCCTCCTCACCACCCCCAAGTCCTCCGCTATCCCCTTCACCATCCCCGTCGGTGCTACCGTCTACACTCCCTCCGGGCCCTCCTTCACCGAGTACCTCGTCGCCCCCGCCGCCCGCGTCGCGGCCCTCCCCGAAGGAGTCGACAAAAAGGACGGCGTGTCATGGGCGACCCTCGGCTTGACGTCTCTCACGCTCGTCAAGGAGAGCTACCCCGTCAAGAAGGGTGACTGGGTTCTGATCCGCGCGGCGGCCGGCGGTGTTGGGCTCGTCCTCACCCAGGTTGTCAAGTACCTCGGTGGGCACGTCATTGGGACTGTCTCGTCCCCCGAGAAGGCCGAGCAGGCCAAGCAGGCCGGGGCGGACTTGGTGCTGCTCACGACGGACGACTCGAAGGAGAACGTCAAGAAGATCGTGGAGGCGACGAATGGGGGTGTGCACGCGGTGTATGATGGTGTGGGGAAGGACACCTGGGAGGAGAACTTTGAGGTGGTGAGGAGGAAGGGCACGATCGTGACCTTTGGGAATGCTTCGGTGAGCTTCCCGTTTTGTATACCATGACTACGCTAGTGCTGGAAGCTCACCGTGTGTCGCCACGATAGGGTCCCGTCCCAGCGTTCACTCCGCTCAAACTCACCCCCAAGGCCCTCAAGGTCACCCGCCCCTCTGTCTTCTCCATCGTCCAGACCCCCGAGGAGTTCAAGGAGTACACCGACGAGCTCGCCGAGATCATCACGAAGGGCAACATCAAGGTAAGCAGGCCCCAGCCATGCTGCCTGTGAGGGTGAATTAGAGAACAAGCTCGCTGACATCCGGTGTGATGCGCAGTTCGCCGTGCACAAGGTGTACGAGCTCACCCAGGAGGATGTCATCCAGGCTCAGAAGGATATCTCCGGGAGGGGGACCACCGGGAAGCTCCTTGTTCACGTTTCTGACTAGGTGTACTCTCCTGAGAGACACGGCGCCAGACAGACGGGGCGCAAACCAGCAGCTGGCTACGTGGTGAGGCCAGGATAGAAGAGAAGCGAAGAAGCAGTAAAGACGCAAATGCAAGATACTATAACCATACTGGCTTTTACATACTAACCAGCATCGGAACTACCTTCGTGCACTAACCCATACTCTACACATCTGATTTGGCCACAGCGCGATGGGAGCATAGCTGACACGAGACACACACAGTATCATGTCTCCGAGCGAGCCAGCCGGTCAACAAGAAGGCAACCCGGAGACGAAACTCACCTTACGCTATCGTCACCCTTCATATGGACGCCCCCAAAAGAGACACGATGATGGCCTACCACTAACACACCTTCCCCGGCCCTTGAATAGCATGCATGCTTGAGCATATGAGCTTTGCCTCCCGTCAAACGGCGTGGACCGTTTCATAATGGCCAAAAAACATGGAAGCCCGTGTAGTTTAGTTGGTTATAACACCCCACTAGTATTACATGGTTACTTTATGGGGAGGTCTGTCGTTCGAATCGGCACATGGGCAATTCCTTTTTGCCCTTTACCAGGGCGAGCAGGGGGTACTTGACCCCTTGGGCTCGGTACGGAGGAGTTGTCGAGTCGAGATTCGTGAATCGCATGGGAATTTCGACAAGAACAACGCGCTTGACGGACTGGTAAGGGGGTGTTTAAATGCGTGATCCGGTAATGTTGACCGACGCGTCGCGTCCATTTCCTCCGAAAAGCATCTTGGTCTTGGTTTTTGACCTTTCTGTCAATGTTCACAGTACACGTCTCTTGCAGGCCCCACTCGTGTACCCGCTGCTGAACGTATCCTCTCTGCATACCCCCACCCGACCCACAAGTAACATGTCCAGCTCTCCTTCCTTCCACGCCCCTGCCCCTTCGGCTCCCTCCGCCGCCGCTTCTTCCGCCTCTGCTCCTCCTGCTCCTGCGCCCGCTTTCCAGCCCGACACCACACCGTCGATTCAATCCGCCCCGCAGGAAAGCAGCACCGCGCCCAAAGTGCCCAAGAGCAGGCTGCGCCACAATCCCAGGCTGGGTGACAAGCGAAAAGAGAGGGAAGGAGAGGATGGACAGTACCAGTCCGATCACAGCATTGCAGTCAGCGCGTCGGGGGAAGATTCGTTCGATGACCTAGTGAACCGTACGTGACTCCTCTGTGTGCATTCTATCTGTGGATACCTATACACCGGTACTTATTCCGGGACGTGTAGGCTGCGATGAAGAGACGAACGGGAAGTCGCTCGCTACCCCTGGTAATGAGGTCGAGAGGAGGAAGAGGTTCAAGCACTATGCTCTGGAATCGGCTCTTAAGCATGTGAGTTTGTCTTCCTTGGTCGTATTGGCTGGATTCGTCGGTTGACTGGTATCATAGTTCATGTCTGTGTGCAAGAAACATGAAGCCGAAGGATGGTCTATATCCAGCAGTGAGTGACATATACTGGTGTCTTCAGGCTGATCAGATAGTCTGGCGGCGATGCGGTAGCTGACAACTGCTCCCTCGCGCCTCCCCCGCTCATTAGTCCTGATATACGGCAGCACGGTCAACCAAGAAAGAACGAGCAGGCTCTGGAGCACAAGCCGTTCGCCGCTTTCTGGGCTTCCCCCAAATTCCAGACCAAAGACGCCGTGTCAACCGATATCCTGGGTGACACGTCAGCAGATGAGCGGCTGAGAAAGGCGATGGCAGGCCGCTCGCGCGAGGAATATCTGGCTGCCGCCAAGTCCTTGCTGGACTGTGTGACGGGGGACATCCAGAGGCCGGCGGCTCTCGCACTGATGGACAGGTTGTCGAAGGAGCAGGAGACGTGGCGAAGGCTTGAAGAGCGTGAACGGGCGCTCATTGAGAAAGAGCGAAGGCTCGAAAAGACCGAGCGCGCTTTGGCTGAAAAGCGGGCGGAGATTGCGCGACTGAATGAGATGGCGGGCGGGAGGCTATGAAGGTAAGCATTGTTCATGAGTGGCTCTCTTCTTGTCCCAGCTGACACGGAGTGTGCAGGTGAGCTGGGGTCAGTTCCCATGACCCTTGTGCATAACAACATCCCCCACCGCGCGTACCCCTTCCACCGACCTCTTGTCGCTCATCCGCCCAGCATCCCCCTCGCCCGAACCGCAAACCGACCTTTTTCTAGCCCAGAAAGACCGAAAGATAGCTTCCTGGCGCGCTTGTTAATGAGGTCGCGAGCCGAGGAAGAGGTTTAAGAACCAGGATATGGAATCACCTCTATGTAAGTCTGTACATCTATGAGCTGGACTTCCTGAACAACCTGATTCAACTCAACGGCTGACTGTTAGTTATCAAATCCCATGGAGGTATGCAGGAAGAATTAAGCGGAGAGAATGGAATTTCCCATGTATATGCAACAATACATAAGCATGCCACCGATGCCGCCCATCCAACGCTTGATTCAACATCCCTACCTTCGCCAAGTGTCCCCTCCCCACCGATGGCGCTGAATTGGTCTGAAGGGGCCTCCTGCAGATGCCGGCAGAGGCCTACTGCCATCGCCTACCGCCCTTTGCCACCCCGGCATTGAGTATGCATGCTGCCCTACGTGCATTCTCTGGAATCTAATGTGCTGAGTCATCTCGGCGATCTCGGTCTTGCGGACAAACAGTAAGTGGAGGTGTGGGCCGTGCCCGTCGGCTTATCTATATCAAGATTACCTGCTTATCAATCTTCGTATCCACCTATTATTATGAAGGCCGGAGAGCCTCGACGATGCCCTGCGGCTTAGTGCGTGCTTCTCACCATTTGGTGCATATATATCATCCCTCCGCCCCCTCGATCTAATCGATTATTTGCTGACGTGCTTTGTCAGGATGTCTTCCCTCCGTCTGCTCCGACGTGAAGCTACATGTATAAGTAGTCGGCGCGGTCTGTCCTCTCTCACCTCTCCCCATCTCGCCACCACCATTCCAAGGCACCTCCCACCTACACGCCTCACTTCTCGAAACATGTCTACCCAGGTACCCAAGACTCAGAAGGCCATTCAGGTGAGCAGGTCGTGCCAGTCTTGCTGAGGAGCAGTGGAGCGGCACAGTATGCTGATCAATGATCCCGACACGGACTTACAGGTCGACAAGCCTGGTGGCCCTGAAGTGATTGTTGCCAGAGATATCCCAGTATCTACACCCAAGGACGATGAGGTGCTCATCAAGATCCAATGGGCGTGAGTGGCGACAGATCCGTGTCGTGTCATGCGCTCAACGCAACTGACACATATTTCCCCGTGCACTCACAGCGGTGTCAACTTCAGCGACACATGTACGCCCCTTCGTCCTGATCGACCCATTTGACAGTATGATTGACATTCTGCGCACACACTGTAGACTTCCGGGCGGGTAAATACCCCAAACCTTCCCCTACACCGTTGGCACCGATGTCGTCGGTACCCTCCTCACCCATCCCAAGTCCCCAACGACCCCCTTCAATATCCCTGTCGGCACCACCGTCTACTCTCCCTCTAGTCCCTCGTTCACCGAGTACATCGTCGCCCCCGCGTCCCGGGTCGCAGCCCTCCCCGAAGGCGTGGACAAGAAAGACGGAGTGTCATGGGCGACTCTCGGGACGACCTCGTTGATGCTGATCAAGGAGGGCTACCGGCCCCAGAAGGGTGATTGGGTGCTCATCCGCGCAGCAGCGGGTGGGATAGGACTTGTCCTTACCCAGATCGTAAAGCACCTGGGCGGGCGAGTCATCGGGACTGTCTCTTCGCCTGAAAAGGCCGAGCTTGTGAAGCAGGTTGGGGCAGAGCTGGTGCTTCTCACGACGGACGACGCGCAGGAGAATGCGAAGAAGATTGTTGAGACCACGGGCGGGGGTGTACACGTGGTATACGATGGGGTGGGGAAGGATACCTGGGAGGAAAACTTTGAGGTGGTCAGGAGGAAGGGCACGATCGTGACCTTTGGAGCGTCCTCGGTAAGCCATCATGTAATCAGTTCTTCTTTTTTGCCACCGTGTTCACTTTCGTATGGCAGGGTATGACCCCAGAGTTTTCTGCATTCAAGCTCTTCACCAAGTCCCTCAAGATTGCCGGTCTGTCCTGCTTCTCCAGCATCGCTACCCCCGAAGAGTTCAAAGAGTACACAGATGAGCTCGCCGAGATTGTCCAGAAGGGCGATATCAAGGTAAGCTCTCCCCCACCGCCCACAATCTTGGGGTCCGAAAGAATGAGCTTGCTCACCAGTAGTGGTTGGGGGGCCATAGTTTGCTGTGCACAAGGTGTACGAGCTCACCGCGGAAGATGTCGCCCAAGCCCAGATTGATATCGCTAGGAGGGGGACGACCGGGAAGCTCCTCGTCCACGTTTCCGATTAGGCCCTTCCTGCGTAACTTGAGTGTTACAGAACTGATCAGTAAACAGTGCTCAATATGCCATGCACCTCTCATTTGACGTCCGTGCGAGGTATCACTTCAAGCGAGCAGGACAATGCAACATGATTCATCTAGGATACCTACCTATACACACCTCGTCACCCGCCGTTCGCTGCATCCCATCATTACAACCCCTTGCTGATTCCCCAAGTGACCGCAAAGCTCGCCAAGCTCCCGCCGGCCAGACCAGCGACGAGGCAGAACGACGCAAGTGTAGCTGCGACGTCTCGTTCGTCTTCCTTGATGCGAGGGTTCAGCGCGGGCGATGAGGCGACGATCATACACAGCGAGCCGATGTATCTACAGTGTGGATTGTCAGCTCCTGTGATATGGATATACGTCAAATTGGCAGCTGCAGCTCACCCGTTGGTCGTGCCGAACAGGAGCATCACGATGAAGTACAGCACATCCGAGTTGATCAGAGGGAGGTTGCCGACGGCGCGCGGCGTGACGTTGCAGGCGAAGAACAAGGGAATGAAGAGCGCGCGGGAGATGGAGAGGGTAAGAATGCGTTTGGGGGAGGTGAAGAGGAGGGATGGGATGGCGGGAAGATAAGTACGGCCGACGTAGTCGCCAACTTTGGTGGACCGGTTGTCAGCTGGGGGACATTCTGTGGAGATCAGGCAGCGGAGGCGGTCGCCATATAAACGTGAGAACGTACTGTTGAAGAGAAGGAAATGGAGAGGAATGAACACGTCTGGCTGGAGGAGCCTCGGGGTGGGCTGGTGAGTGGATAAAATGGTGGTTGTCACAGGCGGAAACACCGACTGTCACGACGTTGTCAGCTGTGCATTGCAGCCACTTGACTAGGGTGGGCAGCTCACCAGAGTCACCACGAACACAAAGGCAACAGCAATTTCCAGCTCCCAGTTCTTCCCCAGCACCTTCCGCGTCACGCTTTTAGTCCCCGCACCCTCTGCCCCCGTTCCCTGCTCTCCGGTGCCCACAACACCGGCCCCAGCCGCAACCTTCGGTGCGACGATCCCCTGGTACGCAGGGTGCCTTACCAGATACCCCAGCGCAATGAGGCAGCCAACCGTACCGGCTGACCCCAGCGTCCAGAGTCCTACACCTGCAGCCCGGCTTGCCTCTGCGCCGTCCCCGCTGTCCGGGTCCGACGCCACCTTCTTGCCGAGAGCGGT